GGGTTTAGAGACTTGGCGCTTCAGGGTTTCGGGGTTTGCGGATTTCGGGATTTCGGGTCTTGGGGAGAGCCTTGGGGCTCGAGGCTCAGGGTTTCATGTAGGGGGCCTTATAAGAATTAGAATAGGGTTTTGGGGGTTCCTTACTATAATTATAGTATAGTGGGCCCCAGAACCTTTCCTTACTATAATCATAGTATAGTAGGCCCCAAAACTTTATTCTAATTATTAAGGGCCCTATAGAAGGGTCTCAAAACAGCTCAGAAGATTAAGTGGTCTAAGGTTGGCTTTCGGGTTCAGGGACTGCCATGCTTTTTGAGAGGTCGTTCTCAAGATTTCGGTGAGGAGCGGTGGCGCACGACTAACCGCCAATGTCGTCGACGTAATCATCGTCATTACCACCATCACCGCCACACCACCACCAGCATCATCATTAGCAGCACCCCCATCACGGCTTGTCATGATCATCGCTACCCTTTTTATCCTTGCCAGCCCTACCCGCGGCCGCCACGACCGCTGTTACCGCCAACATCAGCATCGGCATCAGCACTCTTGCTCATCGTGTTCGCTGTCAGCAGCAGCATCGCCGCGCCATCATGGACTACCTATAGGGTCATACCCTACCCCTTTTTTAAGGTACCTAGTTTTATGGTTAGGAACTGCTATATAAAAAAGTAGGTACCCCAAAAAAGGGGTAGGGTATGACCCTATAGGTACTGTCAGACAGCACAAAAGCCTTCCTCTGGACAGGTGCTACCCTTCCCGCTCGGGTGCCAAGGCTCCAATCAGCGCGGATCTCGGCAATGCCATAATCTGTTGGCGGTTCGGTTCTTGGGAGTTTTAAGATACTTGTTTGTGCCTGGAATTTGCAGGAAAGGGTCTATGTCTATGCCCGTATCCGAGGGTGTTGGGCTTTTGGTCTTCGGGGTTTTGGGGATTTGGCTTTGCCGGGGTTCGAGGGTTCAGGGGCTTGGGGTTTGAGCTAAGCGTGTGTGGGCTTTTGGGGTTTGGGTGTTTGGGTCTTGGGGTTTCGGGTTTTGTGCATCTGGGTAGTAGTTCGGGCCCGTTACAGGGTTGCAGTTTCCACTAGCCGTAGTATGCAGCCGCAACCGCGACGGTTAGCAAGGACCTGCACGAGAACGCGAGTAGAGCAGTAAGGCGGTTCACCATGTTGATGGCAAGAGCAACAACAAGAAAGGGTGAGCATGGGCAAGTGACACAAAGCACGAGAAGCAGGCAACAGCAGCTACACCGGCAAGCATGAGGATAACAGCAGGAAGTAGTACCAACTACACCAAAGAGCAGAGATCGTGTTGCCGAGGCGCTTTCCACTGGAGTCCTACTTGGAGCGATTGCAGAAAGAGGTCCTGCAGTACGGGGTTAAGTCGTCGACATGCTTGTCTCGGTATTTGTGATTTCTCCAAGCAAGAATTCCGGAACCCAAACCTGAAACCCTAAACGCTATTAGCCTTAAACCCTAATGAAACCCACACTCTAAGTCGTAAGCATTTAGAGTCTAGGATAACTGTGCAAGAGCCTCAGAAGATCCCCATCCCGTGCTAGCTGGCCGAGTCGCTGAAGCCGAAGACCCCAACAGTCGCTCTGTCTTCTATGACGCCCTACAGGCTGTGCCATGTTACACCGTTTTGTGACATACTACACTTCGATCACATCATGGTATCCTTGCTTTGATGGCTTTGCAGAGTAACGCGGGAGTGTGGTCACATCTACGCACCTTCTTCGGTACCCTTACACTCCCAATATGTTGTCATAGAACTACAACGCCTCGGCATTGACCGTCACACTCTTTCGTGCCTTGCTGAAATCAAAACCCTAAGCTGTGCCCAGAAAGAGAAAGAAGTGCCGGACTCGCTGCCCATCTTTCCTTTCAAACACGTGCTCATGCCGGCCCACGCCTCAGAGACATGTTTGCGAAGGGCGTGCAGAGCTTTAGGGTCTCGGGCTTTAGGGTTGTTAAGAATGTTTTTGCGGTTCGCGGTGTTTGATCTTCAGGTTTGCACGGTTTTTGCGGAACAATAGACAACAAGCTCAACTGAATCCGATGATGTCAAGAACCAGCCGCCCTACCATGCAGCAGCCGACCCGGCTGAGACGTTGGATTACGGGGATCGCATGACAAAGCGGTATTCGCATCATCGTTTCGTCGAGCTGCCGCGAGTCAACGCGAAGCTCACAGACTGATATAGAACACCAACCTGGAACCCTCGCACGCAGAAGACTGAAGACGATAGAAGCCTGAAGAACGAATCATACTATATTTAGGCTGTTCAGGCTTCCTTGATTCAAGTTGTAGCATAACGGGCCCCAAAGCCCTAAACCCAAAAACCCTGTATTCGCTCTGATGAGCCAGATTCCCGCGCCAGCCGTGGCGGATGGCCGCTAGCTTGAGCTCTCTTCTGCGGTTCTCCACTGTACGGGGCAGGTTTAGGGGGGTTTGGGGTTTAGGGTTTAGGGGCTAGGTTGATGCGGAGATTCGGGTCTAGGGTATATAGAGTTTAGGGGTTACGGGTCTAGGGTTGAGGGTTTGCGGCGACATCATTTGCTGTAAACTGAATCCTAAGCCCTAAACCCTAAACCCTAAACCCTAAACCCTAAACCCTAAACCCTAAACCCAAACCCAAACCTTCAACCCTAAAGGGTGCAACCGGAGCCCTTCTTGGCAAATCGGTCGGTAGCCGCAAGGAAAGCACGGAACGCACATGGGTGGTTGTCAAAATTATGGTCTTTTTTTGGGTCCTTATTGTAATACGGCACCTATAATTTAGAGTACCCCAAAAGGGACCATAATTTTGACAACTACCCATATGCGAATGCTGCCACCGGCACCACTTTCTAGCCGAAATTGGCTTGGCAGACAGTGAGTTTGTACGGCGACTGGTATTCGTTATTGCTGCTGCTGTTCAGTGTCTGGGTTTGTATATGGGTAGTTTTCTAAATTAGGGTCCCTGTTGAGGTTCTCAAAACACTTTGGCACCCTTATAAACAGCCTTGGAAAACTACCCATGTCGGGTCCTCCAACATTTCCGGACCTCCTGCACAACCCTAAACCCGAAAACCCTGAACCCTAGACCCAAAGCCCAAAACCGTAAACCCTAAGCCCCCCAAACCTCGTCTTAGGGGGCTTTTGGACTTCCGGTTCTGGCGAGCCGTTTCTCTTTGTCCTTCAGCTCCTGAACCTGTCTCATGTCCCCTAAAGTCTAAAGTCCTAGCCGTGACTGCAGACCGAGCTTCCATGTTAAAGCTGGGTTTAGTGTTTAGGGATATCACATCATATTCGTATAAATGTATTTTCTTGCTTGTTTATTATGACTATGCTTATTATTAGTAGTAGTAAATGTTCATCATTACTACTGTGCTCACTATTCTCAGACCATCTTAGTATTTTACTATTATTCTTACATTATTGCACTTATTCGTATTATTATTATTATTATTATTAGTAGTAGTACCCCTAAACCCTAAACCCTAAACCCTAAACCCCAAACCCTAAACCCTAAACCCTAAACCCTAAACCCTAAACCCTAAACCCTAAACCCTAAACCCTATCATCATACCAGATTCTCCGAAGGCCTCAGTCCAGGGCTGAGAGTTTCTCCCTCTGCAACTGGGGCCCGAGGTAAAGCAAGCCCCGTGGAGTATGCCAAGGCGGCTTCAGGATTTAGGGTTTTAGGGTTCAGGGTTTAGGGTTTAGGGTTGAGGGTTTTGGGATTTAGGATTTAGGGTTTTAGGGTTTAGGGTTCAGGGTTTAGGGTGCAGGGTGCAGGGTTTTAGGGTTTTAGGGGACCGTTGGGGTTTCGGGTTTTAGCGCTTAGGGTTGAGGGTTTTAGGGTTTAGGGTTTAGGCAAGTCGGATAAACCCTTGTTTTTTTTGGGGTGTTTTACGGTTTCGAGTTTAGGCGTTGGGGCTGAGGGGGAGCAGTTCCGGGTCGTGCTGTTTACATAAGTTTCTTGCATTTGTTGAGGGCTCTTGTTCGCAATCTCCTCCTGCATTGCAGCCGGCGGCCCTGACGTACGACGCGGCCCTCCTGAAACTCAACGGCTCTCGTCGGGGGCTCTGACTGAGGAGATCCTACTTAGGGTTTGGGATCTAGGGTTTGAGGTTTAGGGTTTGAGGTTTAGGGTTTGAGGTTTAGGGTTTGGGGTTCAGGGTTTGAGGTTTAGGGTTTAGGGTTTGGGGTTTAGGGTTTGGGGTTTGCGGAAACGAGCGATGGTTTTTACAGCACGAAATACCATACTGGTACTAACAGCAAGCGCAGTTTAGGAAGAAGCAACGATGAATCAGAAGTGCAAAGCTGTCGCAGATCCCCCTAAACCCTAAACCCTGAGCCCTAAGCCCTAAAGAGGTGACAACAGCAGTCATCACTCTCACCGTTCTGCTGATACTTGGCACACTACTGATGCGTCTAGCGGTCGCAGTCCTGACGAAACGAGATGAACATCGATGCCAGAATAAAGGTAGCCACTACGGGTCGAAGCAGAAAGAGAGCTTGCAGAATTTCTCAACCCTGAACCTTCAACCCTCAACCTTGCCCGCAAGTGAACTATGGGTTGAGAGTGTCACGGCCCGAAAGCCCTCAGCTTTAAACACCTCAACACCTACCTGTAGTCTCCATTGCAGTTCCTTGTTTTTACGGTTGGGGTCCGAAAAGGCAACGCAAAGCAACTACAATCGAGACTATAGGTATACCCTAAACCCTTGAATCCCCTAAAGCCTTACACCCTAGACTCTGAACCCAGAATGCCGTACCTCTAAATCTAAGGGTCCTGTAAGGGTACCTTTTTAAGTGATCCTTAAGGGTTCCTTGAAGAGATCCTATGAGGGTTTCCTCGAGGTCACCAATTATGCTGAGGTCAGGGAGGGTCCATGCTGCTCGCCTTCACCACCAGCTGGATGCTGCTGCCTCGGTTTATATATATATATACATATATATATATATATATATATCAGCATAAAAGCAAACCAGTACGTTATAGATAAGCGTATCAATAATCACAAATATATATATATATATATATGTGTGTGTGTATACACACACACACACATCTAGACTTCAATATGTATATCTATATATATATATATATGTGTGTGTGTGTGTGTAGATGCACACAATAATGTAATAAGATCGTATGAGTAGATACGGCTTTCTAAGGTTTTGCTATGGTATTTTGGGGGGCTTTCGGGGGTGTAGGTTGTAAGAGTTTCGGCCTGTTGGTTGGCTTGAGGGCTTCTGTTGGGTTTTCTGGGTAGGGCAAGGGTTTCGAGTTTGCCAGTGGAAGGAGTTTATGGGAGGAAGGACTCCCAAACCCTAAACTCTAAACCCTAAACCCTACATGTAAACCCTAAACCCTAAAGGAGTTTATGGGAGGCGGGACTCCTAAGCCCGAAACCCTAAAAGTTGGCTTTGAGATTTTGCAGCAAGTCCGGTATTGTTTCTGCCCAACTAGTTTCAGATGCCTCCCAGCAGTCCTTCCGAGCGTGCCAGTGAGTGCCGTTAGAAAGCCTGCTTATGCGTTGTTTGCATATTCAGTTTTGCATTTATACACTTGAGTACCGTATCATATGTGGTGCTTAAGTACCCAGGCTTGCTTGGAGGTGGTTGCGCAAAGACCTGGCAAAGACATTTTGCCGAGCTTACCTATAGTCCCATTTGCAGTTCCGTTGTTGGTTTAACCCAGTCAATGTTTGGAATCCTATCAGGTACCCCGAAAGAGGAACCTAAACCCTCAACCCTAAACCCTAAACCCTCATTGAAGCTCTAAAACCTCAACCCTAAACCCTAAACCCTCATTTAAACCCTAAACCCTCAACCCTAAACCCTAAACTACAATGGAGACGGCATTGACATATTCGGTCCAGGGCTTCCTTCCGAGGGATGCTCAGAAGGCTGGGTCTGCGGTGGCAGGGGCGCTAGGACTGGTAGAGCTTTAGTTTAGGGTTTTAGGGTTTAGGGTTTAGGGTTTAGGGTTTAGGGTTTAGGGTTTAGGGTTTAGGGTTTAGGATTTAGGATTTTAGGGTAAACCCTAGACCTAGACCGTAATTAAACCCCAAAACCCCTAAAAGGAAACAACTCTAACCCAAATCGATCCTAAACCCTAAAACCTTAAACCCTAAACCCTAAGCCGTGGTAGAAGAAACCCAGAAACCCCGGCGTCACAGGCTGATGGCTGAGCTGACGCCTCCGGAGGTTGGAAGTCCGGAACACGAGGCGGAAGCAGAAGTGCTTTAGGGTTCAGGGCCGGGGTTTAGGGGTTCAGGGTTTAGGGTTTAGGGTTGGTTTAGGGTTTAGGCGTTTAGGGTTTAGGGGTTTAGTGTTTAGGGTTCACGGCCGTTTAGTGGTTGGGGGTTTCATTAAACCATAAAACCCCGAACCTTAGAGCAGAAACCCTATTAACAAGTATCCCTGAACCCTGCCTACCCTAAAGAACGCCCCTAAACCCTAAGTCCCAAAGAATCTCCCTGAACCCTCAAGCCTAAGTCCCAAAGAGTCTCCCTGAACCCTCAAGCCTAAGTCCCAAAGAATCTCCCTGAACCCTCAACCCTAAATCCCAAAGAGTCTCCCTGAAACCCTAAACCCTTGGCACAGTGGGTCTGCCCGGGAAGGTCTGGCTCCGACTGCCCCCGGTCCATCCCTGTGCCTGCCTCAAGCAACGGGTTAAGGGTTTAGTGTTTAGGGTTTAGTGTCTAGGGTTTAGGGTTTAGTGTCTAGGGTTTAGGGTTTAGGGTTTAGAGTTTAGGGTTTAGGGTTTAGGGTTTAGCGGGGATAAAGGAGGTTTTGTGACCCAAACTTTAGGCTTTGGGGTCTAGGGGGTAAGAGGGAATTTAGTGCTTTGAGCTTGAATATAGGGGCCTGAATAATTACCAACACTATTTTCGGGGCTCCTTATTGTAATGATAGTAGAGTATACCCCGGAACCTGATGTTAATTATGAAGGCCCCTACATTATAGGGGGTTTTGAGTTGCTTCTGGTGTTGCCTTTTATGGCTGAGGCTTGTGGCTTCGAGGTCTTATTGGTTGAGAATGCTGACGAAAGAGAGGGCTCAATTTCCAGCGCGTGTCTTTGGGGCTCGAGTATGCACTTCTCAAGAGGGTCTCAGAAGGAGGGTTTGGGGTTTAGAGTTTAGGGTTGAACGGCTGAATATATATGGGCCTGAATGCTGTAATAAAGGCTTTGGGGCACGGTATAGTAGAAGTATAGGGTTTAGGGTTTTGGGTTGAGGGTTTAGCCTAGCAAACAGTATTGGTAAGTATGGTTAATACCCCAGATGAGTGCTGAGGGTTGACGCAGGCCAGCACCACAGCTCCTCCATTCCAGTAAAACCCGACCTAAAGCACCCCACGGCCTCGAATCCCCACCAAAAAGACCTTGATGAGCCCTCGCAACCCGCTACACCCCTCAAAAGACCGTCACAAAACCCCAATAAAGGGTCCCTAAACAGCCACCCAACCCAAAACCCTGTCAATAGAGCCCCCAAAAAACCCTGAAAGGAACGCTTTAAAGGAACCCAACCCCTCTGTGGCCTTGAGGCGCCTTGTTCGGCTTCGTGATCTGTCCTCCAGTGGAAATCGGCTTCCCCGAGACGGCCGGAGGCGATCGAGGGTTTAGGGTTTAGGGTTTAGGGTTAGGGTTTTGTGGGGTTTAGGGCTCGACGGTGCTGTTTGACTTGAGGGCCATGTCGTTGGGTTTCCGGTTAGGGGTCAGGGTTTGGGGGGTCTTGGGTTTGCGGACGTCCTTTTCGTGAGAAGTCAGAGACAGCATGGCAAAGAAAAGGCCTGAGCACCAGCCAAGAATCCAGGACTCCGCATCCCCAGACCCTAAACCCTAGCCCAAAACCCTAAAACCCTAAGGCCTAAGCCACAAAACCCCAAGCCCTAAACCCCAAAACCCGAAGCCCTAAACCCCAAAACCCTAAGCCCAAACACCACTCTTTGAAGCACCGGAGAGCGGGATAAGGATCTTGCTCTGTCGCAGGAAGACTGAGTCAGAACAAGCTCGTCTCCAACCGTGCGGTGGAGGAGAGCCATGGGTCCTGTTGTGACAAGAGTTGGGTTTAGGGTTTAGAGGGTTTAGGGTTTAGGGTTTAGGGTTTAGGGTTTAGTCCAGCCTGGCCTTTTGTGGCCAAAGTGTTTGGGTTTGCGTGTGCGTTCGGATGGTAGTAGAGGCTTGTTGAGACCGACCCGGCAATTCTACCGACAAGGGTTGCAAGGAGGACAACAGTCCGACAAGCAACAATCCTGCACTGAGCAAGGGCAACTTAGCAGAGGTGACAGCAACAACGGTCATGACAACAACTGCAAGGAGGGAATCATGGAGGATGCACCTGACTTCGAGAAAGCGAAGAAGGAGGTGCCAACGGCTTGGGGAGGGGACCCATGTCGAGATCATGAAGAGCATGTGGTAGCAGGCCCTCCAAGTATTGACCAGAGGCGTTAAGCAGCAGGACCCTTAAGCAAAGTTTCGGAAACCTTGGCCATCGCCCTCCAACCCAGTATGTCAGTCGCTGGTGTGCTTCTGTTCTTCAAGACACCCCCAGCTGCCCTAACATCTGGAAGACTTATGTTGTCACGGCACGACGAAGGTTCGCGTCTCCTTCCAAATCTATTCGCGGTCGCACACTCAGAGTGACCGGCCCCGGTCCAACGTGGGACGATGTATGTTCCATTCGTCAGCACAGTTTGGCAGATAAGGGTGTGTCCAGATCTAGTTCCCTGCAGCTCGCTGATGTTCCGCATGCAGAATATACTACCCATAGGCTCCAGGGTAGTTCCTTTTTGTGGTTTATATTTAGGATCCTATAAGGTAATCCCAAAAAGGAACTACTACTATATGGAGCCTATGGGTAGTACGAAAAAGAAATCCTCGGTGCACGTGGGGCCAGTACACCTGTGCCTCGAACTGATCAGCTGGCTGATGAAGCGCTCTGTGAGGCCGGCGGAGACGATGGGGTATTGGGTGAGAGGATGAGATCATGAGGCCTTTTCGGGTTTAGGGCTTAGGGTTTAGGGTTTAGGGCTTAGGTTTTAGGGCCTCGGGTACAGGGTTTAGGGTTTAGGGTTTGGGGTTTAGGATTTAATGACACAGATATCACACGTGCTGAACTGAAGCGGACGAACTGTTTTGAATGCCACGGTCAAGGAAGATCAGGAAATTGCAGTATCATGGTGCAGCCTGCTTGGAACACAAACAGCATCAGCATTCGTTTCTTGCTGCACAAATAGTGCTAGCAGTCCAACCAGTGCTTAAAGCGGCACTTCTACTGGGCGTTGCCTTTGTGCGTCCGATGGTCTTTCCCCATCAAACTTGTCCACGGCTTGCTGTTTTCAGTTCGGTATGTCCAAGAAGTCCCGCAACCATATCATCATGGAACCAAAGGGCCACGGCTCCGAAAGAGGAGCAGTGTTCCGGCTGTGGTGAACGACGGCCGAATTCGGATTTGGACTGGCGTGACTCCTCACTTAGCCAACCCGAAACTAAGCTTCAACTTCAAACCGTCTGTGACACTCAGCAGCACATTCAATTTGGACGATCCTTCAGTCCAAGTTCTCACACGCATGCCTTCTCGAAGAGATGTGCGGAAAAAGATCCACAGCCTGGTTGCAAGCGCCTGTGTGCACCCTGTCTTCCCACACGGGCCACTGCAGTACACGGCCGCGGCATCAAGGGGAGAACATGTTTCGTGGTCCTACACGCAAGTTTTCGGACTTGGATATGTGGATCAGGGGCAACCATTGCTTATGCACTCCCCGGACAAGGTTCGCTCATGTAAGGCATGCAGTAGAACTCCACAGCGTAAGTTATCGCTGAACCTAAACCCCAAACCCCGAAACCCTAAGCCCTAAACTGCATGCAACCATTGCATCATCCTTCACATCAACTTCCCTCAAGCTTAGATTGAGGGCTGTGGGTAGGTAAGGGGTGCGGATCTAACGTTTAGGGAGAGCTTGAACCTTAGGCTCCAAACCCTGAGCCCTCAGTGCCCCTGTGCCCCCCAAGCCCTAAAGAACCCTAGGCCCTCTTGCAAATGGGAGTTTCCGAAAATAGGGGACCCAAATATAGTACCCTAAATAGTAGGACCCTTATTATAAGGACCCCAAAATAAGGTACCCTAATTTTTGGAAACTCCCAAATGGGTAGTTATCTCAATCAGGGTCTCTTTGGGGTGCCGCATGATTTTAACCTAATTCAGAGAACTAATGACTAATATATATGTTGGGGGGGGTTCCTTGTTATAGTTATAGTCTAATATACCCCAATGCCCTATTATAAATTTCTAAGGCCCCTAGATTACCCAAACCCCTAGACCTAGGACATTTTCAGGTGGGTAGTTACCGTTGTAGGAGCCTTACCGAAGGTCTATATGGAAGCCTTATAGAAGCCCTACATACCCTAAGCTCCCCACCTGTAGTTTCCTCTAGCTAGACTCCCTCTGAAACCCTATTCTAATTATGAAGGCCCCTATATTACCCAAATCCCTATAACTGTAGTAGAATATGCCCCAAAAGCCTATTCTAATTATAAAGGCCCTTATATTACCCAAATCCCTATAACTATAGCCCTAAACCCTAAACCCTAAACCCTAAACCCTAAACCCTAAACCCTAAACCCTAAACCCCTAACCCAAATCCCTGGACGCCCTCTGAAACCCTGCGGAGAGGAGCCGAGGGCCTCCAGGACTGACTCATCCGAAGGCTCGGGGCAAACAGCGGGCTTTCCCGTTTTTGCTTTTCTCTTTTGGGGTTTTGGGGGTTTAGGAAGGGTTCAGTTTTCTCTCTTGGGGTTTTGGGGGTTTAGGGTCTAGGGGTTTAGGAGGGGTTCAGGTTTTTCTCTTTTGGGGTTTTGGGGGTTTAGGGTCTAGGGGGTTTAGGAACGGTTCAGTTTTCTCTCTTTTGGGGGGGTTGGGGGGTTTAGGGTCTAGGGGTTCAGGAAGGGTTCAGTTTTGTCTTTGGGGTTGGGGGGTTTAGGGTCTAGGGGTTTAGGAAGCGTTCAGTTTTGTCTTTGGGGTTTGGGGGTTTAGGGTCTAGGGGTTTAGGAAAGGTTCAGGGGTTTGAGGAAGATTGCTCATGCGATAGCTTGCCAGAGAGGGCTTTCCGGTAGTTCTTGTGATAGGGGTATGGGGGTTTCAGTAGGGCCATTAGTTGTTGGCATACGACGGGTTCTTATGATATGCAGTCTTTTTTGTCGGATGACTTTTAAGCATTGCTATAATGCTTCAATAACTGTTACTCTTGAGGTTCTTACAACAGTTAGCACGAAGGGTTCTTATGATGGTTACTTAGCAGAGTACGATCAGAATTAGAAGGGTTCTGATAAGAGTTAGTACAAGGGTAATTAAGATAGGGTTAGTACAAGGGTTGGTACAGTAGTCAGTATAATGGTTTCTCAGGGTTATAAGCTTGGTATGCTGCTTGCAATACGGGGTCTTATGGTTTCTAAAGATCACTACCAGTTGACAAACCAGAGCGTTTATAACCCTTTCCAAGTGTTCTTACCATGGTTACGATAAGGTTTCTCACATAGGTCTATGATTGGCATAGGGTCTCCAAAGGCAAACGGAAAATTTATGCTGACGAACAATCACATGCTACGCGCGGCCAGCTGTCTTAAGCAGCCAGCTCATCTCAACCTGAAACCAACACGAAGCCCTAAACCCCAAAGGCCGAAACCCTATAAACCCCCTGCGGCGCCACCTAGGATTTCGGAGCCGGCTACTAGCATTCTAGGCGCTCCCTTGGCAAAGTAGGGACCTTAATTAGGCCCGGAGGTTCCTTGACATGCTTTGCGTCGAACATACCCCACAACCTAGTTCGAATGGTTTATAATACCCCATCATAACACCCTACAAGACCTTAGGAACCCGTTGAAGTCTTTTTCTCAAGGAACCCGATTCTAGCCCTAAGCCCCTAAACCCTAAACCCTAATGACTTAATTTAGGCCCTACCCATAGGCCCCATAGTAGTTCCTTTTTGGGGTTCATATTTAGAATCCTATAAGGTAATCCCAAAAAGGAACTACTATGGGGCCTATGGGTAGAGTATGCTTGCAGCAGGACATGAAGCCTGAGGCGGCACCCGCTCCAGCGGCCGAGATCCAGAGGCAGTCTTGCTGCTCAAAGCTACGATAGAAAGCATACGCAGTAATATTGCGGTTTAGGGTTTAGGGTTTAGGGTAGCTCTACTCCAATATGATGTATACCCTGCTACATAGCCATCATCAGTGTCGAAATACACTTCGTACTAGGCATGACTACACAACCAGTAGAACAATCAAGGCCTATGGCAGGTTTGGCGAGCCAGGGCCCTGACTCCCAAGCTGCTGCAGCTATCGCAAAGGGTCCTAAGTACCTACCTAGTAGAATGTAGGGTTTCTATAATCATCAAAGGAATTGTGAGTTGTTATGGGGTCTATCGCAAATTCATGCTGGACTCCGTGAGTTTGTGAGAGAGCAGAAGAAACGAATATATCACGATCAAGGCAGGATGGGCGCACAGAAGCGTTTTGAAGGGCCCAAGTTGCTTTCCTCAGGCGGCTGACGAGGGTGAGTGGGAGCTTCTTAGGAGGATGGCAAAGGGGATGTTTGTCTGGAATGGCTCTCGCTGCAAGATTTGACTACCACGGTTTAAGCTTGCAGGAGAGGCCTTGAAGCAGTCAGTGCGGGAAGGCGACAACTGTCCAGAGGTACTTACCTTCCCATCTCAACAGTAGCTTTGTACAGCAATCGATGAACCTGAACCCTGAAGCACTCCCAGTCCTCCAGCCATGTTACAATCCAGTCCCTGTATAGGACTTGCGACAAGGGTTCAGACCTCGTCTTGACTCAGGGGAGGGCGGGGCGAATTGGCAGGGAGCAGCACAAAGCCCCATCGAATACGGTAGTTATCACCTAGCCGCCTAGCCATACCGACCGTACCCTCGAGACTAAGCGCCCCATGCAGCCATTGAGCGCCTTACTCTGCCCTAAACCCTAAACCCTAAACCCTAAAGGCCCTAAACCTAAACCCTAAACCTAAACCCTAACTCTACCCCCAAAATCTTCCAAAAGCGCGAGAGGCTCACTGATGCCCAGATGCTTCAGCCGAACGTCCCAGAGGAGGCACTCTCACTGAGCTTTGCAGGTAGTCTTATATTTTCAAGGGTTTAGGGTTCACGGAGGTTATTTCTTTAATGGGTTTAGGGTTTGGGGAGGTTATGAGGAGTAGCGATCCCTGTGTAAAGGGCCCTTCTAGTGAAGAGCCTGCCATCTGGACGGGGGCTATGCGTAATTGACTTGGTGGCAGAAAATCCCAAGCCATTCTTTTAGGTCGGTGATGGTGGCGTTGCATAGTGGTTGCTAGCATCCTACTACAAAACTGAGTAGATCATAGTTGACGACATTCGGGAATCGAGGCATGGAATCTGGGCTTGTTCCTAGGAGAGCCCTTGGAAGGCAATCCTCTCGGCAGAACACCCATGACACACGAACGGTTAGCCGCCCTGCACCTGCGAACATCCTCTCATTCCGATGCAGAAATGAGCTGAGCAGGTTGGGACGCTGAGCACAAACCCTCTGAAGGCAGGACTTAGTAGGAGTTAGAGGTTCTACAGTACCCTAAACCCCTAAATCCTAAAGTGCTTGAGGTTTATATGGCTTAAGATCAAGGGCCGACAGCTGTAAGCCGTAGGTATGCGTTCAGGTTTAGGCAATTAATGTAGGGGCCTGAATAATCACCTATACTATTTTGGAGGTTCTTTATTTTAATTATAGTATCATGGGCCCCAAAACCCCATATTCTAATTATTAAGGCCCCTATGTTAGGCTCTTCGCGGCAAGTACAACTTTCTGCAAGCTCCTCCTTTGTAGTTCATGTCATTCAGTTACCCATGTCATAGGATGGCTATCAGTTCGGCTCTGAGTACCATGAGCCTCCAAGTATTCTTGTTCGTCGTTGGTGCAGGCTTTATGTGTGAGAGTGTCAGTGTAAGAGAGT